ATATTCTTTGGTGAAACTCAGATTAGACCACTATGGATTATCAAGGTGACACTTCTTTATTTTTTAATTAAGATATAATCACATTATTCCCCCTCTTCCATTTCCTCCAACCTTTACCATGTATCACCCCTCCCCTCAGCATCCTTGATCCCTCTCAAATTCATGGCCTCATTTTCTTTGTTGAGTTACACACACACACACACACACACACTTCAATGACACTTTTGATATGAAAAATATTTATCCTTTTCATTTGAAAACAAAATATTGTTGTTGAAATGGCCCATTATGCCCAGCAACTAGAAAAACTTTTATTAATGTCTTTTCCCACTGAGGAGAATTCAGTCTAAAATGAATCATGTGGTCAAGTGTGGTGGCATACACTTTTAACCCCAGAACTGAGGAGGCAGAGGCAGGTGGATCTCTATGAGTTTGGGGCCACCCCAGTTAATTTTAGGACAGCCAAGGCTATACAATAAGACCCATACATACATATATACATACATACGATAAAATTAATCATGTCAGCTTTGGTTGGGCAAAATTAAATGTTATTAATGAAGGATGACCTAAAAAAGGTAGCCCTTTTTTTAGGCTCAGGAAGGAAAAATGTGACAAACATATGACAATAACGATACTGAAAGCTTTAGGTTAAGGGTATAAACAGTAATTTTAAACAAACCATTCAACTTTTGTACTGCAAGCTCCTTCCTATAAAATGGAAGGAATAAAGGACATGTCACACTAGATTGTCACAGATTTTATACATATAAACAATGAGGAAAGTATTGTATGCGTCAAGTGCTAACGTGGTTTTGTTTTCTTTTGTTAGTGGAAGTTTTGGGGGAATGTTTTGTTGTTTTGGTTTTTTGAGACAGGGTTTCTCTGTGTAGCCTTGGTTGTCCTGGAACTCACTGGGTAGAACAGGCTGGCCTCAAACTCACAGAAATCCACCTGCCTCTGCCTCCTGAGTGCTGGGATTAAAGATGTGCACCACCGTCACCCAGGCACTAATGTAGTTTTTCATGACATACATCTAAAAAAGTATTGCTTTTGATCATGAATTAAGCTATTGTTTTACCAAATTTCAAAAAGTACCAGCAATGAGTACTTATTAAATTTAGTGCCAGACACTGAATTAAACAAAGCTATAAATAACTGGTTTCTCCCCATGTCAGTAGGAACAGAACATGTGTCTGTAATGAATTTATTAGCCACATGCTTATGAATATAAAATTGGAGTTTGAACGTTTCCTTTGATGCTTTGCTTTCTTCTATCAGGGTAGGAAGTGATGAAGCCAAAAAATTTCAGTCAGGACTGACTGGTGGTGACACAATTTTCACCTCTTTCCAGGCCCTGTGTCGGTCGGAGTACTGGGATAAAGCAGAACATACACTCACAATGAGTAAGCTGAAACAAGGGAAGGATAATGAAAGCACAGGCAAAGCATAGAGAAGCACAGAGATCATGGGCTGGCCAAAACGGAGCTGCGTTGGCACCTGTATGCCTGAGAGGAAGTGGGAGGGTGTGGTCAACAGAGAGTCAGCTGTGTCAGCAAGAGAGAACTTTGGTCCTTGGTAGCCTCGTGTGACTCACAAGAAAGCTGTGAGGAGGAGAATAAGCACACAAAACCTCCCTTGGTCCCCTCCCAGGGTTCTCCTCGGTCAAAACGTGTAAAAGCCACAGTCATCAAGGGAGCCTGTTAAGGAATTAATTAGTCTTCCTAGCCCAGCTTCCTGAATTCTGAAGGGTGAGAGCAGAAGAAAGAGTTAGTTTGGGAGAACTTCATCCTTTGAACTCACGTGGAGTGGTCCATCTCTGGGGAGGTGATGAAGGCATTCCCTCAATACTGCAATTTACTTTTGAAAATTAGACTTTACAAAAGGTTCAACTTAAGTTTTCCCAAAACAACTACCTTTTCAGATTAATAACATTCATATTCACCACTACCTAGTTGTTGTTGTTGTTTTTTTTTATTACAGTATCAGGTGAACTGGCATAAACAGCTCTAGAACGAAACACATTTGAGTCAACACACGCATCAGTGGGTACTAACTGAAGCATGCAGGTGGAACACAGAAGCCTACCTCTGGAAGAATTTTGAAGCAACTAGGAAGGGTTGTTGTGATTCAGAAGGTAACAAGCCAATGAGTGAAACCAGCCAATCGGATTTGAAGGTCAAGGAAGAGAGTGTGTCATTGAATTTTATACTGAGCATGGGACTGTTTTTGCAGGGTAGTAAAAAATGAAGTACCATCGTTCTGGCTAAAATATTTCCAGCCATTTTTCCTAATCTTTCCTTCCTGATGGTATCACAACCTTCATTTTTTTTTTTTTTTTTATGAAAGCTGTCATCAGTGGTTAACACATGTGGACTTTTGTCTGAACATTCCACAGATCATCATCTTCCCCTGCATAGGCATGGTCCATTTTAAAAGACCGGTTCTGCAGGCACAATGATTAATGGATCCTGTCCAGTGAACTAGCAGCTTATTGGGTGTTTCTGACCGGGATGCTGTAAAACTCATTACTGTTCCCTGTTGAAGCTTTTATAACAGATTTAAAGTAGATTTCACTGTTCTTACATGACTCCACTCTGAGACAATCTTGACTTGCATGTTCCTTGTATTTGAACTGTCACTTGTCGCTGTTAGGCACTATTAACAGACTTATGTGTGCTTATATTTTTTCAGGGTGACAATTTATCATGTCCCATTTAGAAAACAGAGACAGTACAAAGTTTCACGCCTACACAATGGGCTTTAGACACAAGTGAGCAGTTTCAAAGTAGATTTATGTTTTTAGTATTACAAATGAAACCAGGGGGCTCAGATTGTCACTTTGAGGTAAAGCGCTTACACTGTTACTCAACATATCCCGTCCCTATGGTCACAAGAAGGCTCATAATGGACTGACTCTTCTTCCGTAGCTAAGTTCATGGTGGACTGGCCAAACAGACCAACTGTTTTCTCCAACCACTGTGACTGGCTCCCAAAACAATATATAATCTAAATACAAGGCAAATGTCCTTATTCTTATGAGCTAATATACAGATTTTAGGGGAGACCATGTGTCTTTTCTTTCTCTGATATTCACAGTGTAGTCACTAGTGCCCCTCCTTCTGACTAGATCTGTCACAGTAGGAGCTCATAAGAATAACTCAGAAACCCCTGCTCAGACATAGCCCATGGAAGCTCAGTATCCAAGTGGGTTCCCTAGTAAGGGAGACAGGAATTGTTTCTGACATGAACTCAATGTATGGTTCATTGAGCTTCCCCTCCCCCCTGAGGGAGGAGCAGCCTTGCTAGGCCACAGATAAGGACATTGCAACCATCCTGAAGATACCTGATAAGCTAGGGCCAGATGAAAGGAGAGGAGGACATTACCTCTCAGTGGACTCGGAAAGGGGGCAGGGAAGAGATGAGGGAGGGAGGGGAGGATTGGGAGGGAAAGAGGGAGAGGGCTATAGCTGGGATACAAGTGAATGTATAAAATTATTTAAAAATTTAAAAAATATTAAAAAAAAAGAATAACTCAGAAAGCCAGCCAGCTTTAGTACATGTAAGAAGCCTTTATTACCATTCATTTCTTTGCTGGATGTCTATCTGTCAGTAACATTTATATATGTTAATTTAATTTCAGCCCTTGAGGCTTTCAACATCTCTTAGTAAAGAAACTTCCGAGAATTCCATGGAGGAAAAAAGCTGAGGTAAATGTAGGAGGAGAGAGAAACATAAATGGCATCAGAGAAAACAAATTTTAAGTTGGAAGAAGAAAATCTAGATTTAAAACCCAGTTTTAATCAAGTTGGTGTTTGTCTAAAGAATTAAAATAGATCAGAAGAGACTATAGATTTTTATAAAATAAATATGAAGTCCTATATTTTAAGTTCCAGAATTCGGGCACTGGTTACATCAACATCTCAAAAAAATGTTCTCCAGTGTCATTTAGAGAAGAAACTGCATTAACAAGAGATTTATAAATTAATAAAAGAAATTGCACATGCAAAGAGGACTACAATGGTACATTCATACTTCTAATCACAGAATGGCTCTAAAATTACATTTATAGTAAGAAGTTTATGAGTATAGATGAAAAAATATGTTAAGCCACTATATGACAAGCAAGTCTTCTGTTTATTAAATTGTACTTATTTAAGGAAATCTTATTATTAACAGGTGGCAACTTAAAAGCTCCAGAAAGACACAAACACAGGGAATTAGATGCCAATAAAAGTGAGTGATAAATTTACTTAATTAAAGCTGTAGGGAATAAACTATTAAAAGTTTCCAGCCTGATCTAGCCTCACTAGTGATTCAATTCTTAAGTTAAATATTTCAAAGTAAATTTTTGTAAAGTTAACTTGCTACAGTTTTCCAAAGAATATGTGAGAGACAAAAATTGTTGACAGTTGAAGTAGTTATTATGAATTATAAAGCAGGAAAGAGATGGGAACTTAAGTATAGTTTCTCATTGATCATCTGCATCTGTACTTTCAAAATTCGATGTCTGAATTTTAATTTTTTTCCATTTCTATTGAGTTTCCAGATTTTCTCATATTATTGTATGAGCATTTTAGGCTCTTAATAGCTGATCACTGTTATTCTAGAGACTTTATTTTCTAAGGAAGAGAAATTGCAAACAAATTGCAGTTAATGAATAAAAGCTTAAAGCCATCCTGCAATGAAGCTCATTGGCTTTCTAAGCTGTGGTGTTTGCTAGTGTAACTTATTCACTGAATGCAAAAACAGCCTAGAGTTTGCTGTTAGAGTATATATTGACTACTATATGTATATGTGTATATATATATATATATATATGTATGCATGCATATATGTGTATGTATGTATGCATATGTATACAGATGATTCTGTAACACTTTCCTGCTACTGTTACCAACACCTAAGAAATTTTTTGAAAAAGTAAAGGTGTATTAGGTCATATGACTCCAGCAGAAATTTTAGTCTAAGGTCAGCTTTGGACTTAAGATGAGGTAGAAGTGCTCGCTTTGACAGCACATATACTAAAATTGGAACAATACAGAGAAGATTAGCATGGCCCCTGCTCAAGGATAACATGCAAAATTAGTAAAGTGTTCCATATTTCTGAAGAGACCTGATAAGCTAGGGTCAGATGGAAGGGGAGGAGGACCTCCCCTACCAGTGGACTTAGAGGGAGGTAGGGAGGAGATGAGGGAGGGAGGTTGGGATTGAGAGGGAGTGAGGGTGGGGGCTACAGCTGGGATACAAAGTAAATAGACTGTAACTAATAAAAAATAAAATTTTAATTAAAAAAAGATGAGGTAGAAAATCATAGAAATAAGAATATTGCTGCATGGTATCCAGAGAGAGGGGAAAGATACAGACAGATGACAGACAAGCAAAGAGAAAGAAAGAGAGACCCAGAACAAAATACAGTGACAAAGAACATGCCCTAAATGATCTACTGCCTCCAGCTGGTTCCCAGAACATCCCAAAACAGTAACATCAGTTTGAGACTAAACCCTCAACACATAAGTCTGTGTGAAGTGCACATTCAAACCGCAAAACATGTACACAGTGCATGCTTCATACAATACAAAGCATACATGCTGCCATGTAAAGGGCAGAATTTTAGTTTACTATTTAATAGTAGACAAGTATAATTATATTTACACACTTGAAGATGTAGCAAGTGAAAATTAAAACAATCAAGACAAAAATTTCAAGTGTAACTTTCATAACTAAAATGGGAGCATTGATTGAATTTCAAATTCCAACTATAAAGAATAAATATGTAAAGCAGAGTATGTTGACACACTCATTAATCCCAGCACTCAAGAGGTACGCAGATCTCTGGGTTCAAGGCCAGACTGCACTACAGAGTGAGTTCCAAGACAGCCAGGACCACATAGAGAAACTCTGTCTTGAAAAACCAAACAAGCAAACAAAAGAAAATCAATTAAAAAATGTTTTAATTTCTTGAAGAAATATTTTTCCCAAAATGTATTCTGTTATGCAAATTAATCAGTTTCAATCATGCAACTTTGAGTCATTGAATGACTAAGGCACTTTATAATATTTAGAGAACTGCTTTGAAATCATGAGCTCACTGAGCCCAGAGACCAGTATGACAAGTCTAGCACTGCACACAGCAGGTGCTCCAAAATAAATTTTGTAAATAATGACTGCCAAACTTGCAGAATCTCAAAAGCGTAGCTAGGCACCTGGATGAATAGGTAAATAAAAGTATGGATACGCAGATGAAAGTATTTTTAAAATCTTTTGTGAGGTATTCAAGAAATTAAAACCCAAACTATTTACCAAGTTCTAAATAAATATATCAATAAGAGAATCTATGCCCAAAGAGCATTATAATATTTTTGAAGAAGGAAGTATAATTATGATATCTGAGCCTTATTTGTTTCTACAATATTTGACGGTACAACTATGTAAACTTTCAAAGTTGAAGTTTAAAAGTAATTTAAACAAGCCAGGCAAGGTGGCACAGGCCAGTAATCTCAGTACTTGGAAAGGCAGAGACAGGCAAATATCTGTGAGTTTGGGGCCAGCATGGTCAACAAAGCAAATCCAGGACAGTCAGAGCCATACAGAGAAATCCTGTCTTGAAAAACTAACAAAAACAACAAAAAAGTCTAACCCCCCCCCAAAAAAAAGTTTAAGACAGGTGGTTTTAATGCAAAATTGATCAGACAGATTTTCAAAGAGTTAACTCCAATACTCTTCAAATTATTCTACAAAATAAAAGCTGAAGGAACATTGCCCAATTTATTTTATGAAGCCACGGGTTCCCTCATACCCAAACCACATAAATACCCAACAAAGAAAGAGAATTGCATGTGGAACTCTGCTGGTTGAGGTTGAAGTCTGACATTAATGGAGAGCCTCATGCTCAGTCTAAGATGTTGGACTCCCTTTATTCAGTGGGGTTCTCTATCCACCTTACCTGGTAAACCCAGATTTTGTAAGGAACATCACATAGCTCTCAGGAAAAAATACAGGCCAGACTTTGTCCTGATAAGAAAACCTGTTTAGCAGGCACCTGGAGTGGGTATCTAAGATAAGATAAGACACCAATAAGATACATTGGTGTCTTGGCTTAGTTCTTCCTGTACCAATATGATAATTATGTACTGTGTTCTGCTTCTTAGGACATCATGCTACTGCATGTAAATGAGGCACTGTATCACTATGTGGAAATCAAGAATTCACAATACCCCTAGCCCCATCAAAACAAATACATTCATCCTCAAAATCCTTCCCACTCCAGGTCTTTCTACCCACCCCCTTCTTTCATAAAATTCCCTGCACTTTGCCCAAAGTTTGGCTATGAGTCTTAACAACTGCTTTGATCCCCTGCTGGGTGTAGTCTTTCCAAGGCCTCTGTGATAGGTACACAAGGAGAGCAACAGAACAAAAAAATGTGGGCACAGGGGTCAACTGATACTCCAACCAAGGACCATGCATGGAAATAAGTTAGAACCCCTGCACAGCTGTAGCCCATGGCAACTCAGTCTTCATGTGGATTCCCTAGTAATGGGAACAGGGACTGTCTCTGACATGAACTCAGTGGCTGGCTCTTTGGTCACCTCCCCCTGGGAGAGAAGTAGCCTTACCAGGCCACAGAGGAAGACAATTCAGCCAATCCTGATGAGACCTGATAGACTAGGGTCAGAGGGAAGAAGAGGAGGACCTCCCCATCAGTGGACTTGGAGGGACATGGGAGGAGATGAGGGAGGGGTGGTGTGATTGAGAGAGGAAGAGAGAGGGGGCTACAGCTGGGGTACAAAGTGAATAAACTGTAATTAATAAAAAATAATAATTAATTAAATATATTCTTCCCACTGCCCAAGGTTTATAAATGCCTGGTTTCAAATCAGTGTGCTATGTGCTGTGTACTGTGTGATACCATCAGCTTTTCATCATGGACACCAGAGATTCATCATTTATTCTGGGGCAAGAGTGCTCCCCTTCTCACCAGAGAATAACTATTGGACATTCAAACTCCACTTCCAATAGGGCAACCACCACCACCACCATCACCACTACCGCCACTATGCTGGACTCCATAGAGCTTCCGGACCTGCTGGGGCTTGACTGCCAATTGGCCACATGCTGCCAGGTACAGCAAGCCTACAACATTCACTACCATGAGGAACTGCCTCAAAGCCATTGACATGTGTCCTTCCAGCCCATGTCTCACCAGACCTACCCTTTGAGCTTCTGGACCTGGGCCTCTCCAGGCCTGTGTTTCAGCTACAAGCTGACCTGGCCTTTCATCCACACCTCTGCCATCTTTAGTACAGTAGCTTAACTGAAGAGCTGCAACACTTCGGTGTCACCACAGGCTTTGGAACACCTGAGGTTCCACTACCACTATCGATCTCATTTTAAAAGAGCTAACTAACCATAACACTCTGTAGAAAACTCTTTCCACACCCTGGCCCAGTACATGGGCCTCACACTAAAGCTCTCTAAAGCGGTTCGTGAGATGTTTGATCTTGTCCCATCTGGCAGCAGCATCAAGGAGGAATCTCAGATGACAGCCACGTCCCGAGGACTATCCCAGACTCGCTCCAGACAGAGAATGACAATTACAGACCATTTTGCTTTGTGAACATAGACACAAAAATACTGAATATATTACTTACAAACTGAATCCAAGAGCACATCAAAAAGATCCACTGTGATCAAGTAGGCTTCATCCCAGAGATGCAGGGATGGTTTAATATATGAAAATCAGTAAATGTGATCCATCATATAAATAAACTGAAATTCAAAAAATACAAATCATCATCTCATTAGATGCAATAAAAACCTTTGGCAAAAGGAGTTTATCCTTCATGATAAAACGTCTTGGAGAGATTAGGAATATGAGGGACATATGTAATTGTAATAAACACAATATGCAGAAAACCTATAGAGAACATCATATTAAATGGCAAGAAGCTCAAAATAATTCTACTAAAAGCAGGCACAAGACAAGGTCATCTACTCTATTCATATCTATTCAATATGGTACTTGAAGTCCTAGCTAGATCAATAAGAAAACTAAATGAGATCAAGTGGATGCACATTGGAAAGAAAGATATAGAAGTATTACTACTCAAAAGAAGTCAAACCATCACTACTTGAAGATGATATAATAGTATACATAAGCAACCCAAAATATTCTACCAGAGAACTCCTACAGCTGATAAACACCATCAGCAAAGTGGCTAGATACAAAATTAACCCAAAAAAAAATCAGAAGCCTTCCTTTATACAAATGATAAATAGACTGAAAAGAAATTAGGGAAACAACACCCTTCACAATAGTCACAAATAATATAAAATAATTTGAGATTATTCTAACCAGCAAGTGAAAGACTTCTGTGATAAAAATTTCAAGGCTTTGCAGAAAGAAATTGAAGAACATATCAGAAGATCTCCCATGCTCATGCATCAGTACAATTAGCATAGTAAAAATGGCCATTGTATCAAAAGCAATCTACAAATTCAATGCAATCCCCATCAAAATTCAAACATGGATATTAGACATATAATATAGAATAAACATACTAAAATCTGCACACCTAAAGAAGCTAAGCAAGAAGGAGATCCCTGGGTAAGATGATCAATCCTCACTCAGAAAGGCAAATGGGATTGGCATTGGAAGAGGGAGAAAACAGGGAACAGGACAGGAGCCTACCAGAGAGGGCCTCTGAAGACTCTTCCCAATAGAGTATCAAAGCAGATACTGAGACTCATAGCCAAACTTTGGGCAGAGTGCAGGGAATCTTATGAAAGAAAGAGGAAAATAGAAAGACCTGAAGGGGACAGGAGTTCCACAAGGAGAGCAACAGAACCAAGAAATATGGGCACAAGGGTCATTTCTGAGACTGATACTCCAACCATGGACAATGCATGGAGATAATCTAGAACCCCTGCTCAGAAGTAGCACATGGTAGCTCAGAATCCAAGTAGGTACCTTAGTAAGGGGAACAGGGGCTATCTCTGACATGAACTCAGTGGCCGGCTCTTTGATCACATCTCCCTGATGGGAGAGCAGCCTTACCAGGCCACAGAGGAAGACAGTGCAGCCAGTCCTGATGAGATCTGATAGACT